CCTCTCTCTCTCTCTCCTCTCTCTCCTCTCTCTCCTGTCTCTCCTCTCTCTCCTCTCTCTCCTCTCTCTCCTCTCTCCTTCAGGAAAGACTTAAAGCTACCACTGGATTAGTGACCAAGGGGAAATTCTTCTCTGAAATTAAAAGGGCGGAATCCCCTAAAGCAGTGGTTCTCAACCTGTGGGTCATGACCCCTTTCATAGTCACTCTTTATCAGATGTTTACATTCTGATTCGTAACAATAGCAAAATTACAGTTAATGAAGTAGCAACAATAATTTTGTGGTTGGGGATCAGCGCAACACAAGAACTGTGTTAGAGGGTGGCAGCATTAAGAAGGTTGGGAAATCCTGCTGTACACCTTCCTTCCCTATACAATCTTGTATTTATGTTAGGATACCCTAGATGTCAAAGGCTGTACTGTCTTAAATTTTATTCTTTTGTAACACTGAAGTCCCCGTTTCAGGTCACCGTGGCCATAACCCCCTGGGTTAAGGCTGGTCTTTATTTACCAAAGTCACTCCCATGGAACCTTAATTCTAGATTAAAAACCCCTTTTCAGGCTTCCTTAAAGCTAGTGGCTATTGGACTTTGAACAGCTTATATGTTCATGACTTATATGAAGAAACAAAGAAGAAGAAAAAGAGAAAAGACAGAGCAAATAAAGGAGGCTGGGTCTTTATGACACTATGAGCTGTCTTCACAAGATTGTTTCATGTCAGAATCCTGTTTAACCCAGGCCCTCCTTATAACCCCCACCAGCCAGTCCTGTGGCTCCTGTCATGTGACTCAAGCTGCCAGGAATCCTTTACAGCTAATGTAACCTCATGCAGGACTATAAAATGTACACTAGCCACAAAATGTTCATAATTACTAAGACATTTCACAATGGTAAGTAGAGTCCATCCAAGGTTTACTAGCGGGAGACAAAAACATTAAAACAAAATGATCAAGAAATTAAAATAACTGGGATGATTTTCAACCTTATAACCTCTTGTATTAAAGGGGGTACCTAAAATTTTGCTCCTATTGAACTGGGGCACATTGTGCAAATATTCTATTTTATTAAAACATGGAGATATAGAATAATATTGGAAATGGTGGTCTCTGTAATATTGATACTGTTTGGCTTTGAATTAGGGATGACTAAGAGGTACCAGTTGGTAAAGGGTTTCCATGGCACTGACATGTGGCAGATAAAATTTGAAAATGTGAAAGAGCCTCTGTCAAGTCATTTTGCAATTGCAGATTTGAAAGGTGATACTGGCCATCTGGCTTCTGATTCTTCCATTTTCTTTCACCACCCTTGACATTTTTTTTTTATGATGCCATGCCACAGACAATCAAATGTAGTGCAATTTAAAAAACAAAACAAAAAACCCTGAACACCTGTAGTACTGGAAGCCTATGAAAATTAGCTCATTTCATCACTATTTTTAAAAAATCTTAATTGGTCTTAGATGTTTGATTATAAAGCATCTTTTAGAAAATGGAAAAGAGCTGTCCCAGTGGTACATACCTATAGTCCCAGTTATAAAGCTGAGGCTGAAACAGGAGGCTCAGTAGAGCTCAAGAGTCCAAGACCAGTCTGAGCAACTTAACAAGACACCATCTGTGGTGGTTTGAATAGACTTGGCCCAGGGAGTTGGCACTATCAGGAGGTGTGGGTTTGTTTGAGTAGGTTAACTTTGCTGAAAGAACTGTGTTACTGTGTGGGTGGACTTTGAGACCCTCCCCCTAGCTGCCTGGAGACAGTCTAGTCCTAACTTCCTTTTAATTAAGATATAGAACTTCTGGCTCTTCCAGCACCATGTCTGTCTGGACACTACCATGCTTCTTGCCAAAATGATAATGGACTGAACCTCTGAACCTGTAAGCCAGTCCCTATTAAACATTGTCCTTTATAAAAGTTGCGTTGGTCATGGTGTCTGTCTGTTCACAGCAATGGAAACCTTAACTAAGATACCATCTCAAAAAAAAAAAAAAACAACCATAGGGAAAGAAAAAAGAAAAGCTTTTCAGAAACATGTTAGAAGAAGCTAGATAAAGATGTTAGAAACCTTTCAAATCCTACAGTCACTCTTCCCATATTTCTGAAGGTCTAAGAAACATTTGCAAAGAAAGGAGAATCCTAGCATAGCCAGTTGTATAAACATCCACAGCTGTTGAAGATGAGTTAAAGTCTGCAGTTTTAGCATTCATTGTTAGGCCTACTCCTCCCCTTTGATTAACCCAAAATCTGTTTATTCTTGCTTTTTATCAGTGCTACAGACTGAATGCAGGGTCTCATGCATGCTGGGCAAGCATTCTGCAACTACATCCTCAGAACAAAAATACCTTTATTCTTTTTAAATTCTTTTCACATTTATTTATGATGTGGGGAGCAGGAGGTACAGGTTCCATTCTCAGAGATTATTGATCTATAAGCATGTACTAAATTATAAAACAAAATCCCTCCAAACACCATGGGTTAGAATTGGGGACCTATTTGTGGTCTAGTTTGAGACTCGTAATGGCGTTGCATCAAGCTTTTAGCTAACACTCAGTCATTTGCAAACGCAGTAAGTGATGAAGCAAGTACTTGACTCATATGGCTAGTGAGTTGGAACCGATTGTTGGAACCAATTCTACGTTCTTCTCTGTTCAGCCCCTTTACAGGATTGGTTGAGTGTCCCACACATGCAGTTTCCCCAGAAGAAGATGTCCAAGGGACAACTACAGAAGCTATAATGCCTGTTATGACAATCCTGGAAATCTTTTGGTCACCTCTGTTGGGCTGTGCTGGCCACATTAACTAGCCCTGAAAAGATGTGGGAAGAGGAGTATAGGCATGAGAACCAGGAAGTAGAGTGTGCTGGTCTCATTCCAGGCAAGCTATTATAATACACTTAATTATAGCACAGCAGATCATAACAGATCTTCTTCCCCCTCTGTGTACGACTGTCCAAGAACAAATCCCAGTGGCTCACAACTGCTCACCTTTCTGCTGATAGGCTTTCAGAGCTTTCCTTGATTTCCTAGGCCTAGTAATCTCTAGAATTACTGACCATTTCTCCAGTGTCTGTTATCTTCATTGCTGAACAGCATTCAAATAAAATTAAGACTATGACATTAAATTTAAATAAACCTCAAGAAGATTTTCAGCCTAATCAGTAGGTGTTAATCTGCCTTTGGAAATAGGCATATAGGATGCATAAACCTCTGAATCGTCTGCAGATCTGTATTTGTGTAGGTATGTATCCACCTATCTATAAGCGAATCCCTGGCTTATTTCCATTGCTTTTCAGAGGCCCAGTGAAATACAGTTCTCACTGTAGTTTTTTTTTTCAATTAAAGGAAATAGATAGTTAACACTATTACTGTAAGATTCCAAATATACCCTCCTTTGCTTGGATTAAAATGTAGTCAAATCATGTCACTTTGCTAGCTGGCATGAACTTAAGCTGTCAATAGAGGGCATTGGAGAGACAGCAGAGGAGAAGCTCTCTACTTGGTAGTATATTTTGTTTCTTTTTCCTTTTTTTTTTTTTTTTTTTTTTTTGGTTTTTCAAGACAGGGTTTCTCTGTGTAGCCCTGGCTGTCCTGGAACTCACTCTGTAGACCAGGCTGGCCTCGAACTCAGAAATCCGTCTGTCTCTGCCTCCCAAGTGCTGGGATTAAAGGCGTGCGCCACCACCGCCCGGCTCTTTTTCCTTTTTTTTTAGACTTATTTATATGTCTATATGTATATTCTGCTTGCATTTATGTATGTGCATGGTATATGTCACATAAGTGTCTGAGGAGTTCAGAAGATGGATCTACTAGAACTGGAGTTATGGATGGTTGTGAGCCACCACGTGGGTGCTAGGAATCAAACCTGAGCCTTCTGCAAGAGACTTTTAACCCCTGAGAAGTCTCTCCCATCCCAGTACTATGTTTCTTTTAGACAGGCTCTTTCAGTACATGAAATCTGCAACCTTTTCAGCACCAGGTTCCACCAGTGGCAGTGACCAGTGATAGACCACACCTCTCTCACACAGCTATATCCAGGAGTCCCCAGAGACAAGCTTGCAGACAACTACACAATCAGCTTCCTTGGACTCTTTTGCCTAGCTTCCTAGTGGAACACCATGAGTGCACCTCCATGAACAGCAGCCCTCTCAATAGTTAAAGTGGCTTTGCATGGATGTAGAACCTCTGATACCCAGTTGGCCACACTCGGAGTTCTGTGTGACTGAGTCATAGTCGTGAGGGGAGTGACCACTTCCTATTTATATTATTTCTGTATTTAGGATTTTGTTTGTTCCTTTCTAGACATCCTCTTGCTGCTCTATGTCCTTGAGATAAGTAGCAATTCTTTAAATTGAACCCTTGTGTTCAAGATAGTATATGAGTTGTCTTT